CAACGCATTAGAAAGTGGGCTAGGGTGATGAGTGGGCAAGCTCATATGAGACGGCCGGAGGTGAGTAGCACTTCACCTCATACAGCCGCCAGCACTTAACCCTGTCACAGTCCCACTCGATCATCCTACCACGTGAATCAAATCATCGCGATTTTAGAGGCACACGACCCGACAGCTGGCGATGTACGCAGGGCAGCTTAATGGAGTCCTAGCTTCATGGTGGTTGGTCCAATCGTCACAAGGCCAGTCTGCCCACATTTCTTCAAGTTATCTCAAAGTCGCTATTTCTCTACTTTTCATGTCTTCCAATCTTTGAAGAACGCCAGCACAGCGGCTTATTCGAAGACTCTTCTCTTGCCAAAGACTTCATTTCCACTCTGGGTAGACTCAGCAAAGTCCGAGTCGTTATATAAAAGCAAGACTTGCGAACAACTGTATCGATGGCAGGTGCGTTTCTCAAAATTGACAATGCTTCTTGTTAGACGCAGCAGTATGTAGACTCAGAATGTGCACGGACCACTCTTTGTTCTGCCGCTCGACAGCCCTCCTTACGCGAACGGTCGTACTTGCGACAACGTTATATTTTCCTAAATTGGCATTTGTTCAGGTGAGCCTCATAGTGATGTACAGTACAGTACTTAATGTTCTCCCCAATAGGCAACGCGGCTTTTGAGTCTATCAGGGTCCAGCATTGGTTCCGACCGACATATAATATGGGAGCTGGTTAGCTCTATCCCTCGTCTCGCTTCTTCCCTTCCTCCCTTGAATATTGAGCAGCGCACCTCTATACTCATATCAATCATTTTGTCTGCCTCTATGTCACACGAGGGCAGCACATCGGAGCCGCATATCCAGGACCAAGGCAGCATGTCACACGTCGAGGACTGGCAGGACGATCACAGCCAACGATCACAGGCAGCTGCAGCATCTCTGCAGGCCCGACAGAGACGCAAAATTGCGCAACTAGAGGCAAAACTTGGGACTTTAGAATCAGGGCGCGCGGTCAAAGAAAAGTAAGTCTACTATTGCATGTATAGAGTTGGCTGCGCTCACTATCTGCAAAGGCAAACGAACTACTATGTGGCGCAAGGAAGAGCGATTAAGCGTATCGTTACTCTATTTGACACTATCGAGGACCTTGTCACCGAAAATGACCGAAGGTGTGATGTTGAGGAAGACGCAGAATCTAGCCTCGAGTAAGTTTGGCGCCTTTGGAAGCTCCCGGTGAATGCTACTCATCTGCCTTTTTATGTAGTGAAGACCGGCTACAAGTAGGGTATGTTACCCTCACGGCTACTTTGCCGTGGCTTCCTACGAAGGCTGCAGAGTTGGACAATGAGGACTACTGTCGCATGTTGAAACTGGTTAGCTTTTCCTAGTATGTCAGTGATTACTTTGGTGGTGCTGAGTCCTTGTTTAGCTTCGACAGGGGGCTGACGGTGCTCGGGGTGACGATACCTCAAAGCTCAAAGCTCTTGTCGCTGAATGGCTTAACCGGGAATTCAAGCCCGATCCTCTGATTGACGCTGACGATAAACACTCTCATGGGTTCACCAACGATACATGCGGCAAGCTACTCTGCCCAGCTGAGCTTGATTGGAATAATCCCGTGTAAGTAGTACACTCGGAATGTCGAAACAAGCACTCATTATTCATTAGCATAAGGGCAGGGATTCGAGATCGCATAGATGGCCATATTGTGACTGATCTCTCCTTCCCGGCTTTCCTGTACGATAAGTACACCGCCAATCCGAATGACCTAGAGGAAGGTCTTTTCAAAGGCAAAGTTCTTCTTCAGGTTTGTCACTAGAGCAACCTTATCATTGTGATCTCGGACTCACCGGTTTTGCCAGGCTTATAAAGCTGTATTCACGTCACCTTCCTCGGCAAAGGATGTCGAAGGGGACGGTGATGGCATAGATGTCATCCAGAATAACAGACGCGCCAAGAACTCTGTCTTCGGAGTCAAAGTCAAGAAACACGTCGCGCAAATCATCCGGATGAAAAAAGTCACTCCTCGCTCGATCGCGTACATCGCGTGCCAAGTAAGTCTTAATGTTTGACGAGCCTGACAACAGACGATGACCACATGACAGGTTCGATTTGCACTTTCGTCTGTTACCTCATGGCGGTCTGTTGACGGCGACTTCGACTATGAACAATTCTGGCGCTCCATTGTGGACTTCTTCGAAAGGGCCCCTGGTCGAGCAGCACGGCGCAGGGTTGATGTACTCCTCGAATGGTGGACCAGGTGTGTAATACACGCTCCCGTCATAAGCTTCACCTCAAATTATTATTTAGAAAGGTATTCGGACGGAACCACCGCAATGACCTCACCAGTACAGCAAAAGCCAACATGTCCATCAACGCTCTTGCAAGGCAAAGGGCACAACGAGATGACGCTGCTTTTGATTCATCCTGATCCGCTAGCTCAGAAAGTCTGGTTTTTCGACAGGCCGGCGTGTCAGGACGGCGTTTCGACCGGCGGCAGCTCGGCAAAGTCTAGCGGGGCTTGAAAATTTACATCAGCCTACGCACCAATATTGAACTTTGAACGGTTGGTTATCTTATCTTCCTCAGTCGTGTCCGCCGTCATATCTTCTTCAGCTGCATCCGCCGCTCACCCTATTCATGCGCCAAGTCAAAGTGCAGTGTGGCGAGTGCCCTGCACTCCTCGTACCATTCATCTGCAAGACTGGCTCACATATTGGACAGTGGGCTATCCATGTGAGTAGTTTTTATTCTAACCTTTCAATACTCGCTCATGACAATCAATCAGTGTTTCGCGCTCAACCAGCATGCCAATGGCAAAGCTTGGTGGTACTTCTGGCTGCCTGGTACTGCACCTATTGGCCTTCCCATCCCTCCGCCTCAGCCTCCCTCGTTCGTTTCTTCTCCCACTGCCTCTCCGCTGATTGCCTCCGGTTCGTCACAAATCCCTGCAGGCCCGCTTCTTGTCCCTGGCTCGGCACAAATCCCTGCAGGCCCCCTTCCAAGCCAGCCTGAGGAGGGCATGTGCACTATTCCTTCGTGCCGCAAAGGAACACCTGCGAGGGGCCCACTCTGTGAGAACTCAATGTGCAAGTACCACTGCATCGAAAATGGTGGCTGCACGACCGCTGTCAAGCACCGGATAGAGTTCGCGAGCGAGCGCCAGAAGGAAAAGATGAGGGTGCCTCCATTATCCGTACTCACTGCACCGCTCGCACCGCTAACTGCAAATGATGTGGAGCGGGAGCCTGAGGTCGAAGAGGTTGAAGACTTCAGCTTCGATGCTGACCTTGAGCTGGCACGATCACGCTCTCTTGAGGACCTGATGCCTGCACCGTCTTTTTCCAATGCTATGTCCTCCTCCTCTCCGCTCGTGACATCATCCTCTCAGCTGCCTGCCATGCGGACTATCTCCAAGGATCCGAAATCGGTCACCCAGCCGTCGGGGAAAAGCTCAGCCAAGGCCAAAGCTCAATCAAGGCCACAGCGGACCACGCATATGAACGAGACGTGGTATGGTACCTACAAGCACAGCGGGCAGCCAACTGAGCGGATGGAGAAAGACCGCCAACGTGCTGCTGACGAGCTGGCCATCAAGCGCACTCTGGATGTGATGTGGTGGGACAAGGATCGTCAACCTCCTGTCATCTTGTCGCTGCAAGGCAGTGATGGGCCGGAATCTGACATTCCAACCTGGCCGCACTTCTCACTAGCCGACAGCCCTGACCTCCGATCTATGCTTGGCGAGAACATCACCACCTTCGAGTATTTCGATATCACCTCTCGTCTATGGAAGGCAGTGACACGACTGGCCTATAAGTTCCATGTAAAAAATGGTGACCGTCTTTTCCTTCGACGTCACGGTGTCCTTGAATGTGTGGGCATCGACGAGATCATCAGCCGTCTCGAGGACCCAGCAGCAAAACCCCATCTTTTCCTGAAGATGAAGCAAGAACGTAAGGCTGTAAAGTCTTCTCTAGCGCACATCAAGACCCACTGGCCACCATTGCGAACTCCCTCTGCCATTGCGAAGTCTGACACTGACGACGAAGTCACCATCATCTCGCCACCTTCGAAACCATCCCTGAAGCGCCAACGAAGCATGGCGGAAAGCGATACCGAAGAGGAGGCCAGGCCTCGCAAGAGGTCATGGTGCTATACCGACGAATATGGCATCCGCGACTTCCGTCCTGTATACGACGACTCGCCTGTCAGGACAGCCATCGCAGCTGGATTCCGTCCCAGTTACCCGTACCCTTGGTCGGGTCGTTCGGTATCTCCACTGCCACCTTCGCAACAACTCAGGACACCTCGCCTCCCGTCACCAGCATCCTCGAGCTCATCTCTGCCAGACATGCTGAGCGAGACTCTTGCTGACGAGGTGCAGCCGTCGCTGACAACAGCAACCTGGCCCAATGGTCTCTATGTCATTGACATCGCGGCCGGGTTCGAGAGGATGGACTCCGACGAACTGAAGTCCTTGCCGGTCCGCGACAGGTTCGAGATGGTCTATGGAAGAAAATTCAAGAAATCTACCTATAACGATGCACGTCGGAGATGGAAGGAGGCCTCAGACACCTTCCGGACTCGACTATATAAGGCAGGGCGCACACCTGCAGGCCTTTGGGATGTGTTGCGCAAGGCCACCCCCCTCAGGAAGAAGACAGCGGGCACTCAGTCACGCGACGACGAAGAATCTGATGTCGACATTGACCTCACGCTGTAAGATACACACTCGTTCATTTACTACATAACTATTTCTCACCTTTGTATGTTACCCGTCTCGTGTTTGTATGTTACCCGTCTCGTGTTTGTATGTTACCCATCCATTTTGTATTTTTTGAGCATGTTCACACATATTGTACCTGTCCCTCCAACTACTACCCTTCAAAATGTATATCATTCACAAGTCATAAACATGAAGGTGGAGCATAACGTGGATTTAAGGCCCTAATCTGAAGGCTTTGAATGGTGTAAATATTATGAAGGCGGATCATTTCGTCCAAGAAGAAATTATACTTCGTGGGAAGCATCTCCCTGCAGATTGCGTGGTAGCTACCAAGCCAAACATTTATTTGCTCGGCAACTGACGTGTTGAACCACCAACCTGTCCCATCCGCATTCAAAAGCTCGGGGAAGTCAGCTGGGTTGCAGTAGCGTTGGCAGTAGTCATGCTTTGTCTTGTGCTTGTTCTTGAAGTGCCACACGTCCACGCACATCTTCACATCAGCCCACCACTCGTCCCCTCGGGTTTCCACTTGGCGCTTGGCATCACATGCTGTGTCGTAAATAAAATGCTCTGGCTTATGAGCACCTTGCACAGAGAAAATTGTCTTTATAAAGTCCTTGAGAGGTAGCGAGTTTCGTGAGTTCCAAGAACGAGGAGGATGAGAGATTCTTACAAGGACATTAGACACAGCTTCTGCTCCGTTCAGCGTCACTCGTCCCACAATGACCCCACATGTGCGAACAGCAGTTTGCTCGTTATGAGTTCTCCGTCGTCCAAACTGCGCACGGAATTTTCGATTACCTGCATCAGACTTTGCATCGCATGGCTCGGAGCTGGCCAGAGCTATATCACCGAGTCCCTCGTCCCCTTCTTCAAGTACTCCAATGGAACCAGGGTTCTTCTCGAACTGATAAGACACTTGACCGTCCTTGACTGTGTACCACTCGATGTTCTCTTCAACCACTGGACCCAGGCTCGCGCTCACATCTGGCAAGTCCGCAGTGGTCACGTCGGCACCCAAAGCATCATCTGGATATGCCACGCGGTAGCGGAGCAGCCGTTCGGACAATGCAAAGGCAGAAGTTGCCTTCGCATAGTGGAGTTGCTCCATCTGCTGGTGGTCACGATTGTCGCAAGTCTTTGCATCACCACATCGGATTGGACGATCGCACCCAGTGATAGCACACGTGTTGTGCAAACCACAATGTTCGGCGCAGAAGCGGTCACGGTTATTTTGTAGAGGCTGTGTGCACCGAAAGACACCACAACATGCGTGGCCTAGAGTAATTCCGTCACTGACAATTGGCTGACATTTTTCTGTAGCATAGATCATTGATGTAGTATGCGATCTGCATATTACGGGGGTCACTAACCATGCGAAATCTCCCCATCCGAGTGTTCGACTTCATAAACACGCATGCACCCATCACAGACATGGTTTATTTCAGGCTGACCGATCCGCACAATGCGCTCATTCTTCTCTTCCATCGCTGCTTTAAATCGGTCCTTTTGCATGCCTTGGTGCGGCACAGTCAGGCACACCGCACGTTCATGATGGTCCCGAAGCAGCGCAAGGAGAACAAACAAATCCCAGACATTCTCGGTGCTGAGTTTGGGCTTGAAGGGCCACGCAATCTCATCAAAGGCTTCCTGAGAGATGCTAGCGAGAGAAAGCATGTAGATTCGGGCACAGTTCGTAGCAGAACACCTCAATAAACAAAAGTTTAAGCCTCGCAATCACACACATGCTACGATCACTTACGAGCCTAACAAATGCTGATTGGTCCAGAGCTTCGCCAGACGGATGTCGACAAACTGATGTTCCGCCACTTGAAGGTAGTCCGGGACACCTGGATAATATGTGCGATGCTGAGCGTTGCTATGAACAACATAGTTGTAATGATAGTGGCAATGGCATTCTTGATTGACGAGAGTTAGCACAGCGAGTTGAATCAGACTCGGAGCATTAAAAATCAACATACTCTCGCAGCTCAAGTGAACGGCCCACGCAGGTAGAGTGCCTTGATCAAGCATATGAATAATGATTTGTCTGGGCTCCGCCCGCTTCAACGCAACAGTCTTCGGGCAATCGGAGTTCGTGCAGTACTTCGAGGGTGGGTACAGGGTGAAGGACACTTTAACAATATCAGAATTGTACACGAGCGCGACACAACCCGGACAACAGCAATGACATACTGATGCCAAGGTCCCACCCATGGACTCTAAAAGCCTCTGCGGTGCAATCTTGGCGCTGTCTATCTGGTCCCGTGGTCCAAACAACATCTCTCAAAGCATACCAGCACTCCCCAATGAGCTCCAGTGGGATTTTCGTTGCACGCGATAGGAAAAGAGCGATGGATTCTGGTAAAACAAGAGGACTTGATGTGTCGTCTGATGGCTCCTTCAGTGGTTGGTGAAGCTCAATGCTGTGTTTCAGGTTGGAGGACAGTTCAATGAAAGAAATCAGTTGATGGATTGACATGCGAGACAGTATACTATTGCGCAAGATCGCCGCGATGGCAGACAGTGAGTCCATCATGTCGTCGTCATCAATATTGATATTGCGATAGCCACGTATCTACTTTCACGCGGAGCTTGAAATAGTAAGCGTCTGGATTGCAATAGATGATCGCCGTACCAATCGCCGGCCCAAACCCCGTCCTCAAACGCCGGTAATCCCATAAACACGACGTCCTCCGCTAGCTCCATACAGTTGTTTACATTTAATTCAAAATTAATTATCTCATGATTATTGATTGGTGTGAAACGTGAACATTCGAATGAATCTTGTAACGATCCTGTAAATACATCTAGACCATGGCTATCCCTGCATTGTATATTCCTCAAATCCAGCGACGCCATGGTGGGTGTCGCATTATATAGTGTTCACGCAAATATCACCGTTTAAGCTCAACAGGATGAATTTAGACGATACGGCTTTTGCTGGTCGACCCGCCCGCTCGTGTTTGGTAGGCTGAATCCAGGACATCCAGCGACGCCATGGTGGGTGTTGCATTATATGGTGTTCACGCGAGTAACACCGTTTAAGCTCAACAGGATGAATTTAGACGATACGGCTTTTGCTGGTCGACCCGCCCGCTCGTGTTTGGTAGGCTGAATCCAGGACATCCAGTGACGCCATGGTGGGTGTTGCATTATATGGTGTTCACGCGAGTAACACCGTTCAGGCTCAACAGAATGAATTTAGAACATGCGGCTGTTGCTGGTCAACCCACCCGCTTGTGTTTGGTAGGCTGAATCCAGTACAGCAGGCTGCCGGTTTGAAAAACTTGTTGCAAATAAATAATATGTCACACAACGATAACATTATCGCTTCGTCGAGGACTGACACCACTGTGGTCTTAAATGTCTGCTTAGGAATCTCTCCTGTAGTGCACAAAGACACATGATGGTGCTGATGCGTGGCACATCATACAATGAGCTGGTTGAGTGGTAAGTGAGGTACTGGGACAATTCATGGCCCACTACCGTCAAGTGCCGAGCTAGGGGGCTACACTGAAAGACATAGTACCTGTGCAAAGCGAAGTACAGATCTCAGTCATTCGATTTGTGAAGTGGGTGGCATCGAATTCTCAAGCAGAACACGAGTTAATTGTCGTTCACGTGGAGAACACATTGTTATTCTCTGGAAGGTACTTGTTGTCAGTGTTACTTGTACAATAGTTCCATGATTTAGGAACACCGAACATTTTAAACAGATAGCGCTCAAATTCATGTCCCTCGCAACAAGCTCGAGTAAGGAATACATCCGGCAGCTGCGCAAAGGTAACGCTTTTTCACACACATTCCCAATTGGTATATAGCAGATAAAAATTAGATATCTAAAGAGGGTGGCGTCAGAATTCAGAGCAGGGCATGAATTTATTGCCGCTCGCTCAGTGAACGCATTGTCGTTTTTTGGAAGGTGCTCGCTTTCCTGCTTAGCCTTCAAGTTATAGATATTACTTCCAACATGGTAGGTATGGCCCGCCCAGCTGAACTATGTTATTGTCAGGGAATCAATGTATCGTCGTTAGTCGGTAAGCACATTGTCATTCTTTGGACGGTGCTCGCTTTCACGCTTATTTTCGAAATTGTAGCCTGTAACTACAACATAGCGATTAAAATCCACCTTGCTTGTTCATCAGTGTTTGCCCCACCTGCTCTTGAAGTTTAAGTTTGAGCGATGTGCGGGTCTTCTCCCGATCACGAACTGGTGTAGGAGCTTTAGAAACTCACCGTGCCTTTATAAAGTCAAACATCATAATGTCATGATCGATAGCAGAATTATGTTGATGCTCTTGATTATGGACTATATATCACTATATATGACATTCTAATTTGTCCACCAGTTCTCTGATGTAGTGGATCGACTCGGACGGGTACGTCGCAAGGTTGATTTTAGTGGTTTGGTGCGGTTGTGGAGGTTTGTAAGTGTGGTTGGAAGACTTTTAGGAAACAGGGGTGGCAATGCACAGCAACCACACCCAGCCTGAACGTTGAACTGTTGTTCTCCGGGACTCGGCCTACGTACACTAGATGAACGATCAGAGCAAGAACACATTCTGCGACTCCGAGTCTGATGTTATATATCATATTTCATTTTATTTGAACTGCATTCTGATGTACAAATTCCTGTAATTATGCTTAACGACAAATCAATGACAGCTACTATAAACACAGCGAGAGAGTTAATGATACATATAACATGTATGAGCCGAATGTTGGGATGTGTGTGCAGAAGATAATATGGAAGTCAGACGGATAAACTCGGCCTCTCAGAAAGGGAAAACATGCGATTTTTGCGACGAGCGAGTATTTCTCTGGATGGACTGGAAGGGGGGTCGCTGGATGATAGGTCATGCGTCATTCTTCGCGGAGCGGGTGACACCAAATGTTGAGGAATCTCGAGGGCATGAAGATCATCATCTGATCCTTTGAATGATTCACGTGTTGGCCCAGTGAGCATGATAGAATCGTCTAATTGGAATGATCAGCCACATATGATGATCGAAGTCAGATTTACACTTACCACTACCCGCCATCTGTATGTCCTCCAAAGCCCTCAGGGGCGAAGAAGACAGTTGTTCTTCCAAGGTAGTCGAGTCCGAGTCATCCCAGAGCCTTATTCTCTTCGGCCGACTATCTTCAGACTCGTCGACTTCAGGATCCGGATCTGAGAGCGAAGGCAGAGAACGCGTTCGCCGGATGCCTTGGCTAGGCGTAGTCACAAAGAACGGCTGCTCAGCGCTGGCCCGGCGCTGCATCTGCCACCGAAGACGAACTTCCTCGAGGGGAGGGAGAACAACAGCATCCATGAGCACGCGTTTCCGCTTCCTACAGACATTTCCAGCTGGGGTTGAACCGAGATTCGACACCGACGATATACTCGGAGAGAGAAGACTCGCCACAACCTGTTCGTCCTCGAGATCACTATCCCCATCCACGGATGGAAACTCGATGGAAGAACGAATGAATGTTCCACATGCTCTCCTTCCTTTCTTAGTGATATCGTCCAAAGCCTCGTCGAGTAGCTGTCGCTTTCCAAGCACGGATGGGGATGAAGTTTCCTTGCTCGGAGAACTTGTCGCGATACGTTGTATGACAGACCGAACAGGGGACATGTTTTCCTTGTCCTCGAGCATCCGCCGCTTGCCTGGTGACGCACTGCATGGCGTCTTTTCTGACTTGGTTGGTAACCTCCGCGGGGTCGAGGGAGGAACTGATGGCAATGGCAATGTCGATGCGGGTGAACGAAGCAAGAGCGAATGGAATGATTCTGGAGTAGTCGAGGGCTTTTGGGGGCGAGGGGGCGTCGCAGCACGGTTTTGACGTTGTGTCGGCGTCGTTGGAAAGAAGATAGAGGGGAATAATGGGGAGTCGGATTCTAAACTTTCAAAAGGGGAGAAGAGAGCGGGTCCGAGTCGACCAATGAACGGGGAACATTCATTAGTGAGGTGGCCCGAAGAGGGCAAGTCATTTTGGTCTGAGACGAATGGCGAATCAAGCTCGAGAGTTGTTTGAGAACTGGGAGATTGAAGATTATCGCTGCCTAGGCTATCGGATGAAGATCCTGACTCGAATTCTTCTTCCTGAGGAACAGTCTCGGAAACTTCTACAGGCACCTCTTCCGCTGCACACGGTTTGGAAGACCACTTGACACAAGCTTGAATCCTCTGGGGCCACCCTTCTTCTGGCTCCTCATGGCTAGCGAAAGTCGACTGCCAGAATTCTTCAAACGATTCATACGCAATTGCGGGCTTGTCGCAGCGACCGTAAAACACGGATTCAATCAGAGCTGATAGTGTATCGAGCACATAAACACTCCTCGGAAGTTCTTGCATGCCAAGCAGAGAAGTTTGATACAGAGGGAGCAAATCACCCGCATATTCATCTTCATTGAACACGTGGAATTCATCCGATATCCAAAGGCTGATACCCTCTTGGAGCGTGTCCAAAAGGTTCAGTCGAAGCTCGACAGGACACGCGTCGACTACGCGGATCAATGATCGTATCATCCAAATCGACGTCACCTTGTTCCGAGGCTCGGGCGGATATGTGGACTGTAGAGTATCGTTGACAAAGTCGAAGATGTAAGAGGGAAGCTGGCGGGTGTCAGCCATGTCGAGGTGCGTGAGCAGTAGATCGGCAACGCGGGTTGACGATGCATAGGCGGGACACGGGTTCTCAGAGACGATTTCTGCAACACGATCGAGCACGGCGGAGGCGTCGATGCCGTAATCGAGAGCTTTATTGACCGCATGCTGCAGGAAGTTATCCCAGGTCTCGAATTCGTCGTTGGCCATATCCCATGCGTTCGATTTCCTGCGAAGAGGTCAGATCTTCTAAAAGACAAAAAACAATGAGGACACATACCCGAAGGGAACGCCGAGCAATAAGGCGGCTCCTTCCCACGAGCCCTCGGCATCCTCGGTCCATTTCTCAACGAAGCAGCCCCACACGAGGCCTTGAACTCCTGGCTCATAGGACATCATGGCCATGGCGCGTGATCTCTTCGCCCAGAATTCTCGCAAATCATCCACTTCGCAGACGACCAAGACTTCTGCGCAGAGGTATGCCCATTGTTTCCTAGCATCGTCCGGAGAATCCGTTTCCCAGACCAGGTCGGCTTCGTCCTCTATCAAACACGCAAGGAGCCTCGCACCAGCAGAATGAAGCAGATTGTTAGGGAAAGTGGTTCGTATCACGGCCCACAAGTCTCTGGTAATGACTAACTTGAGAGCAGCATTAGATCGGGATGGTATCAAGGTTCGCCTGGGGGTAACCCTGACGCCGCTAACAGGACTGGCTTGCTGAGACGGAGGAGGTCCAAACTTGGCCGAAAAGTCGAGCTTAGAATCACGAAGGATGTCTACGAGTATTGCAGCAGATTTGGTTGCGAAGTCAATAGTTCCATGGTCATTATTGTCATCTAGGACCAACATGAACATCGAACGAATGAATCGCCGACCGATGCTCACCTTGTAAGGCTGCCACGTTGGCCTTCAAGAGGCCTTCCCAAATTGACAGGACATCGCCCTATGTTTGATGTCAGTCAAGTAAACAAAACTTCGGCGTGCAACTGACCGGCGTTCCACTATCCTCTGGCAGCTCAAGGCACGCAAGTCCAGATCTCCAGATGTGAATGAGGTCGTCGAACACCCAACTGCAAGACAGCTCGTCCCTCGTTAGGGACCTAACATCGCTCATCTGAGGACATTCTTCCAGTATTGGCCTCACAGCGCCAGCTAGCGTCTTGTATTCCGCTGTAAGAAGCCCCGGATTTGATGAGAAAAGGGAATGAGGAAGAAGCTTGTTCATGGTCCAATTCTCTCCGGTGTTCTCGAAGCTCACTAGGATCCTCGCAATCTCCATTCCGTCGCCACAGGTTTGACCGCCCTTTTTGATCATGGCCTTGACCAGGGTCAGGGTCTTCCGCAGGCGATCCTCATCTTCAGAATCATCGCCTAAAAGAGCGGCAACCGTTGAGACGCCGGCACCCATGTCGGTAATGGATTTGAGAAGTTTCCAGTAGTTCTCGCGAAGAAGTTCGATGTCCTTGTCGTTCAAATCTTGGACGTCGTCCGCGTCATTAGACACTGTCGATGGGGGTGGACGAAAGTAGGCCCAAGCAACACAACGCCACGTAACACAAGCAAGCCCTCGCACTGAACTCTTCTTATTGCGCACTGCGAGTTGAAGCAGAGCCGATATAACACGCGTCAATCGAACGTCCAGGTACAATGCTGGCCCCAACAAAACGATAAAGCTGGCGATGACACTAAGGGCCCAGACAGGTCCTTGGGCCGCATGCTGGGGTTCTAACGCGTTCAGCGTTGTGCGAAGCGTACGAACGATTATCGGGTCTAACGATGGCTTCGTTGGCGTCTTTCGCGGAGAAGATGATCGTTGAGTTGTTGTGAGGAATGTGGCGACTGCTTTGGAGATGCGGACATGCATTGTCGATTGCGGAATAGAGACGCAAGCTAGGACGAAACCTCCAAGCGCATGGCAAGCTTGAGTGCGGAGAAGCAAAGTTGGCGCAAGCAAGTTCGCCAGTATAGATGGGAGCAATTCTATGAATGCAGGTACGAAAGTGGAGGGTTGATACACAGAAAGATCATGAATAGCCTGTAAGACGAGGTAAGCATGGAACTGAGGTCAGAGTGTCACCGCTAACCTTTAGGCCATCGCAGGCAGATCCTTTTTTGCCTTCTTTGCCTAGTTCGCCTTCCATACCTCGGCGCAGAGCGAAAGCAATTCTGTCTTTCGCTGGTACGAGGACTTCCTCTGGTAGACGCTGAACTTGCAGAAGCCATATGGACAGTGCGCACGTTTTACGTGCGTTAGGAGTCGGAAGCACGTCAGCCATAGGAATAGACAAAACGGCAGTCAACATTTCGCCCAATTGCGTGTCTTGCAAAGGGTTAGGCTATATGCTTCAGAACGCCCTAAAAACGCACCTGTGAAGATGCGATAAACAGCAGGAAGGGTAAAGATTGCTCCAAGCAACCTCATCACGGCGTGCGAGGTCGTGCAGAGGTCTCGCGCGTATTTTGCTTGCCCAGCCGACATTCCGCGTTTTTTCTTCTTGGGACTCTTTTTCGGAGAAGGTAGGAGCGAGGGAAGTTCTTCCTCTTCCTCATGAGTAAATGGAAAATCTTCCGTTTCACTTTCAAGTTCAGGAGACTTGGGCTCCACAAGTGCTTTACCGAGGTCACGGCATACCGCGTCAGTGAAGGGCTGCGTTTTCTTACGAATTGGTTGAAACAGAGGCCAGGAAGCGTCCGCGTCGGTTGTGCCCGCCACCGCTGACCTAATGCGGGCAGCGAGGACGGCGTAGGCATCAATGAGGTCAGTGAAGGAGGTCTCCAAGGCAAGAATTTGAGAGACGGGTCGCGCAAGATACGACAGGTTTACAAGCGGGTCTTCTGGTTCTGGAGTTGCTTCCCGTTGTCCCTCCTCTGATACGGTGAGTAACTTTGGAGCCGATCTCTTGAGAATAGACTTTGTAGGACGCTGACGCGAAGCGGTTGGTGGGAAGGGGACGTGACCCTTTGGACTTGTAAGAATGTGGTATTGGTTCTGTTGAGTCCAGGCGACACGAGAGCCAGCGAAGCTTGTTGTTTCCTTGTCTCTATGTGAGGTAGTAGGTGGTGTAGGCAGACTAGTTAAGACTGCCATGTCAATAATGATTACCACGACGTTAATTGAAGGTGGCAGATGGTGGTGAAGGTCAACGTCGTGGTCTGCACCCGAAAACCAAGCGCGTAACGACCAAATATCAAAATAATTGCAATTAAACGCGCCAATTTACGCGTCGCGTGCAGTATTTGCGCTTGTTTGGTAGCGTGTCCACTGGCTGAACTTGAACATGTTGTTCTTGACTGGAACGCGGTCAAAGGGGCTCTCCTGGTTGAGGCAGCAGCTGCGTCCAGCTATCTCCATTATCCTGGCAGATGCATTTGGAGAAGCCACCACGCATTTTCAACGTTTGCTCAACGGTCAAAGCAAGACGATATATTAACAGACGCCGCTTTGCGAATTTTAGTCAGAAGCTGAGACGAGGTTGCAAACCGGTCAAGTTTACAGCGATCAATGGACTTCTATAGCGGAATTGGGGATGCTAGATGGAAATATCATGGAGGCGGGCACATCAGGCCAGTAGCTGGGCGGGGTGTGCGTCGAGAAAGTGGTAATGAGCTATCCAGATGGACATGTTAACACGAGGCAGGAGATTTCCAGAAGAGGATTACCAGTCATCGTTCCTCACAATCAGTTGGAGGATTGCTGCAAGAACCTCCGCTGACATTCATAGCGGAAGAAGGTGCGAGTAACGAGCCAATCAGTGTATTGATGATAACTTACGAGATTCAGTCCGATGAAGAGCTGCGGCTTCCGATGACCCTACGAATGAATGGCTTGTAAAAGTTCAAGGTACCGATAAGTACTAAATAACTGTACTGGTAAAGCTTCTGCAGCCCCCTCTCTTCCCCGATCACGCATACGCATTAATGTAAAGGCTGATTGTGACTCTGAAATGAGTGCATGAAGTCATTGTCTTAGGCACATCGTGCTGTTTCAGCCGCTGTCCCACCGAGAGCGCTTCCAAATAATTAACACCTAGAAGTTTCCTCGAAGTTCGTGCAATGCAAACGTTGAATTGCCGCGTGCATGCTGCAGCACAGAAGATCAATCAACGAGCCAAACTAGAGAGAACCAAGCCTTGATTCAAGATCGACTGTCCGCCGGCAACGCACCACTCAGCCTTCTTACGTCTATAGGGGCCACAAGGAAGTGAGTACAAATACCCGCTCATCCACCTTTCTAAAGACCCATCGAACACCTTCTTCGTTCTACGACTCCCAACTTACGATCAATCTTCAACTGACCTCTCCAATACTCATCATGATCTCATTCACAACTTTCATCCTTACCCTCCTGGCTCTCTTCAGCCTCTCCCTCTCTGCTCCTACGCGCAGAGATGTTTTCGTCCCTCCAATCATGTACCCCCAAGCTGGTGTGGTCTGGATGGCTGGTCACCATCACAATGTTACATGGTCAGTTTCACTCTTCTCTTCTTCCCTCACCGTCGATCTCATAATCACCGGATACAGGAAGACCGATGATGCACCCGTACAAATCACCAACGGGATCGGCAGGGTATATCTAGCTACCAACTCCATCATTGATCTAGGTAAGCTTCCTATCTTCCCATTTCATATCCGACTCGGACTGACCAAATGTCTCAGACCATCCTTTGGCAACTGGCTTCGACATCTTGGATGGCCGCGTCGCCATCCAAGTACCGTCGGTGGCTACAGGTCAGAATTACTCAGTTGTCCGTAAGTCCACCGTTTCATCTTACATTCGTGCGCACGAGCTAATCACCATCACTCATAGTCTTCGGTGACTCGGGCAATTACAGCCCACAATTCACCATCATCGGCCAGTAATCGGTACCCTACCACGTCCTACCTAATCACGCGACGAACAAGTAATGCCAATGCTGCACGGAGGGCGCGCAGGTGTAATCGTGCTCCACTGTAGTGACTTTAATGCGATGGACTAATAGTTATGCACTCGGATCTTAGTGGACAATTTGTATGTAGTTTAGTGGCGATAAAGTTGCTTCGAATCTCATCTGTGATGGTTGTACTTCTTCGGGGCGTTCATTACGATCATGATGGAACTCAGTTTGCCGACAGAAGCACTCGAAGGTGATACTTCAGTGGTGGGGGCGTCCGGGCCTAGTAATCGGGGCCTTTTGTTTTGTTTGCTAGATGGTCACCACGCCAGGTACTTTTTTTTCCTTTTTCTGTCTTGAAAGACCTAGCGAGGGGACTAGTACGTATGCAGACGGCTCATTTCTCAGCCATCCAAGACCATATATCTCATCATATCAGGATTGGTCTGTCCAAATACCTGATCCAGCGTGCACATTCATGATCTATTGACGGCAAAAACCCCAGCGTGAAACTTTATAAAAATACAGTCGAATCGAATCACCAAGATGAATCACTCACTCACAAGGTTGGCGTTTAACGTTTGATCATTGCAACCTGATGCAGTCCCCCTAGATTCGAGCAGCTATTGATCGAGGGGGGAATAGCGGTAATGAAGTGTCATCGAGGCATGCACTTGTACAGAATGATCATGAGTGGTTCGTAAGTGCGTCCTCGCAATTCAGGACTGGCCCTCCGGAATCCTTATGAAATACCGAAAAACCGCCGGAAGCGTAAATAGATAGCTTTCACAACACATTCAGTTTGTAGATAGTGACAGGGCAGCGAGGTGAAACCATGCCACGATGTTGGGAATACTTAGGGGCATGCAGGGTCGTGATGCTCACGCGATCTTTTCGCTAGTGCGCTTTGAGTCTGAATCTGAATGTTATGTGATGGTGTTCACTGGTAAAGGGATTGGTGACTAAATTTTCGGCGTGAAGATAAGGGATGCACCAGCTTTCACTTACTTACAAGCAACCTAAACACCGCTGCCATCAACACACGACACAATCTGGCCGTCCAGTCATCCACGCCACGTATAGAATTTCCACAGTCTTGTAGTAGAACAAGCGTAGTCGCCAAAAGGGGAGCGAGCTGTGGAACAAAGCTGTTAGTAATAGCATGGAGCTATGGAATGGGGTATATCCTGTTGCGTCTTGTCCTAGATGTTCCACGTTTGAATCCAAATTCGCAATTATGAGTAGCAGCGAAGGCGCTCTATCCCCTCCCGGAACGCTTAACGTTGGCCATTTGCTATTCCCGTATTGAGCCTTAGTCACACAAAATTCACATAAAATTTGGACGTCGATAGGCTCCTCGCGAGACTGTTCGTGCCCGCGGTCACGGAAGCTAAATGTAAGGTTGGGTACATACAAGTTGATATGATGAAATCAGTGATTGAGATACTAGAACGTGAGTCATGCACGTACCGCATTTGAATGTGTCCAAGTCCTGCACTGACCATTTCAAAGCTGCGCGAGCACTTTAAACAACATTACGCCAGCGTGCCAGAGCTACCGTGTACATGGAGATAGTTTCGTCAGTCACTATCAATGATGCTCATCCCTGACGAGACAAAAACTTGCAATGCATTTTTTTTCATACGATATGCGCCGTCGCAAGCCTTTGTACATCAGATTGAGTACTAAATGCATACTTGATGACGAATCAGCGATTAAAACCCCAGATACGAGTCGTGCACGTACCGCCTTTGAATGTTTCGAAGTCGTGCCAAAAGTCTGAGATATATGACCTACACATACTTGGTTGCCAAAGCTAGTACTGTGACATAGAGGCAATTACATCAGTGTCTGACCAAACCACTCTGGAATAATAGATTGACCAGAGTCGCGAGACATTCAATGACACTCATCCCAGCTGTCAACTTGAAGTGTCAAAATTTAAAAGCTGGCGATCCACTCACATTCCTTCGATATCAAAAGATGTTGTTGATATGATATTGTTTCAGAAAAACATGGACAGTTCGAGAGCTTATTGATCTCATGCTATCCCCTCGAGGCTTGGACCACCTTCGACGTCCCCGAGAACAAGTTCAAATTCAGGCTAGGTGTGGTGGCTGTGCATTACCACCCCTGTTTCCTAAAAAGTTCTTTCCACCTCCGCAACAAAGTTGAACAAACCAACTGAAATCAACCCAAGGTTGCGACGACATCCGTCGATCCAGTAACAGAATATAAGGTAAGCGCATGCAGTTGCATTGGAATAGCTCGGGACCGTCTCTGCAAATATAATGCTTATTCAAAGCTTCAGGTATCGTACTACCTAGTCATGGTCTATTATTGCGGATATCTCGTGCGAGACGAGTGGTTGTTCCAGCGGGGCGCTGAGTTGGGTTGTCCACGCCCCGTCAACGCATTGGACACAATGAATATCATTCTCGCGGCTTCGAGTGATCTCAGGATCGACACAAAAGTTTATGCCTACACCAAATTTCGTCATGTGAAGACCCTCAAGGGGATCCCGTTTTGGTGCATTGCCTTCGCCTCGAACGATCCTTCCGAAGGCTTGCCAACCAGCGCGCCGGCAGAGGAAGAATACAAGGCTTTGAAGGAGGCTCTGCATAAGAAAGGCCCGCCTGGCTGGTACAAATCTTCTTGAAGCACAATGTCAGTGACTATGCACTTGCGTCGGAATAGTCTCTGATGCTCCGCTTCAAACATCGTAGTTATTGTTAAGTTCTGCAATATGTATATCAGAGAAGGGAATCAGCTGTTTGCAGTGTGCACGCCACAAAGATCAGCCCACGAAAAATAGTGTTTTGCCATTGGTTTTGACTTTACATAAATCCCAGTACGTGCTTGTCATTTTTGTCAACAGATTTATTTAAGTACTTCTAGAGACGAAGGATATAAATGTCAAACATCTGCGGGTTTATCCAAATCATCGTTCATCTTCTTTAAACTCTTGTATATAGTGTGTAACCGGTCGCTAGAGCGTGCGAGATCAACACGAAGAACTGCATTCCAATGCGGAACCGTGTCAGAGGGTCGTTCGCTGGTGGCTTGATAATCTGGGTCTCCTACTGAAAGACCGTGTATCTTCTTCGTGACGTTGGTACGGCGAATTGTAGTGCTGGACCAATACGGACCTGCAATATGACGGTCATGGGATGTATTGCAGATATGTGGTATGGGAAAATTACCTGCAGCTGCAATAGCCAACACGGAATCCCTCTTCGGATCCTGGACAAAGATATGTGCTGCTTGGTTGAGCAGGTCGCCTTTAGCTTCTGTAACTCGACGAAGAATCTCCGCTTTCTGCTCCTGACCTTTCAGACTCCTACACACGAACCGTTTCACTTCAACAAGCAAGCCAATGCTCGCCGCAGTAATCCTCCACCCTTTATAGCGAAAGTTCCGCTTGTACTCCGGCTGAGCCACTGCCCCAAGATTGAGAATCACAAAATCCACAACGACACTCTTAGCACGCTTCGCCGGGATGGTCGATGCGAAAGAAGTGTCCCCCGCCCATGCCTCTTCGTCGTCGTCGTCGGCTTGTCTTCCTGGAGCCCCCCCCTCTTCCGAGTCAGGCTGTACTAGTTGTATCTCTTACGGATCATTGCCATCACTTTCATCCTCGTGATCATCTGGCGGTACGAACCAAACAGGGAATTGAGGGGTGACAATTAAATGCGGGACATCTGCCACAAGATCAGAGAGTTTCTGATCCCACAGCGCATACCAGGGAAATTCGATATTCCTAGAGTTGAAGGTGCGCGAGAACCCGAGTGAAGTCGCCAGGATGGCTTTGTGCTGCATCACTGGATTTCCGTCGCTCCCAGGGAGAATCCAGGCCATCGCGAATCAGTACGTGACTGGTGATTTCGCCTTACATGATGTTGGCCAATATGTTGTATATATACACGAAGTCACATTAGTACGGACTTCGAATTCTAGCGGAGAACAATCTAGAACAATGAGGGCGTCTTCGCGACTTGCGACGATGCTACAGTGTATGTCACTAAGGGACAGCAACTCTCCCCAGGCCGCAATTTTGATCCATATGTGCTTAGATTGAAATTTTGATAGGAAACTTAGACAAAAGGAGCGTAAATCTAAATTTCCGAAATTTCGCCTGATTACGTAATTGTTCACTTTTGCCGTCGAATGCCTCCTCCTACCAAAAGACAGAAGCAAGCGAAGCAGCAGTATGCTTCATCATCAAGGTGCTTTGACAATGGGCTGATAGAAGATGTTTTTGAAGTCTTTCTGGACCCAGATTATGTGCCTGTCTCAGATGCCGAAAGTGAAGCAGACTCCGAGTCCGACTTTAATGGAGCATTGTCATTCAGTCTCATAGACGGCAATATAGGAGAGGTATCAGATAATGAAAGCGAGTCGGATGATGAAGCAGCTATGGAGATTGTGGTCGAGGCTGAAGAGACAGTGGATTATGCAGAGGGGTGTGCACGGAGGGCAGCAGTATCTGCTCAAAAATTCTGGGCGAACATTATGAGTTCAGTGAGTAATATCAATCAGTGCACTGATATACATCGAAAATTTGATCAGGATGTGTTTTCAGGGGACACGAAGCCAGTGAAACTGCCCAAACGCTCGATGCCAACATACAGTGGCACAGCACGAACATCTACCTATCTTCGAAAGAGAAAAATGAGAGAGGGTGCAAAAAACAATATGACAATCACCTCTTTCTGGGCCCCGAAGCCTCCAGCAAGAGATACTGCAAACGACCCTCAAAATGAGTCCAGATCACCCTCTGAACCATCACCAGCCAGTACATCAGACATCGACATCACCTCCGAGTCTATTGACGAGGTTCCTACCTTCGAAATTCAACAAGAAGCTGCGCATCCTTTCTTGGACATGACAGCAGACGACGACGACAATCATGACTTCACAGAGCCAACTCCTGTCATCGATACTGTCAAGAAACTGATCATCGAAGCGAAGAAATTTAAATCATTCACCTCATTAGTGCATCTGCATGCTCTCAAACAGTTCATCGAGTTGTGGGACAAATACAAGCGGAATCCACGCATTAAAGCACCCATGATGAAATCGAGTCACGCTGTTGCAGTCTCCATTGGCAAGGGTCCATACATGGCACGAAAGATACGCACACTGTACAAATATGTTGCCCGTTTTCATACACTACCTCCAGTGAGTGCTGGCAAGCACCACGGACACCCATCACTGCTCAATAACGAGCGCATCGCACAAGCTGTGCGTCGCTACTTGACTGTCCTTGCTGATGGCGAGGTGAGTCAGCCAATTAATGGATACTGTCAATGGTTAGTTTTTCTGATACGGACGATAGATAACACCACTGCTCTTAATGAGACAAGTAAACACGGTGATAATCCCATCACTCGGTCTCAACCTCAATGGCCAAAAGATATCTGAGGGTTCGGCACGGCGTTGGCTCGCGAAACTCGGATATGAGCTGAAAGAGGTCAAGAAGGGTGTCTACGTTGATGGTCATGAGCGTGAGGATGTTGTTGCTTACCGAAAACAATTTTTAGAACAGTTTGCTGCGAACGAAAGGTATAAAGCCTGTTATTCAAATGTCAGCATCTTCACTGATATGAGCAAAGGTTTCGTCGTACCTACCGGGATGAGGACCTCGAACCAGTGGAACCAACTCTTGGGCCTGGAGAGAAACTACATGTACCTGTTATGCACGACGAGTCAATTTTCCGTGCTAACGAACTTCGGCGACGGGTATATGTTACCAAGGGGAAGATGCCACTTCGAAAGAAGGGCCAAGGGCGTGCAATCCATGTCTCTGATTTTATCGTTGAGCAGACAGGAAGACTGACACTATCTGAGGAACAGCTGCATCGAAACGCCACACTGCCGGATGGTCAGCGGCTGAGTTGCACAGATTCTCGCGAGATTATTTACCCTGGAAAAAATCATGATGGGTTCTGGACAAATGATAATCTGATGAAACAAGTGCGTCGTGAATTATCCTGGACAAAATTGGAGAATATACTTACAATACATCAAGATTCGAAATACAATCTTGATTTTCGAGCGCATCTATCCGAACGCAGTCGCCGAGTTCGTTTTTGATCAATCATCCGCGCACGGAGCATTCGCAAAGGACGCACTGAATGCAAAGGAAATGAATGTCAAGCCAGGTGGCAAACAGAGGGCCATACACGACACTTACATTCCAATGGACAATCCACATCCAGAACTTCGTGGAAAGCTCCAAAAAATGAATTTTCCATGCGAGCTCCCTCACGATCACCCGGATTACGAATTTCGTGGACAGCCGAAGGGAATGCAGCGTGTACTCGAGGAGCGCGGACTAATTTCAGTCCTGAAAGCAGCAAACAAAGGGAAAGCTGTTGGAGAGTGTCAGACATGCAAATTGTCACGAGAAGCACAGGAAACACTTCGTCATGAGGCACTGGCAGCAGCGCAGGGTGGAGACGAGCCTGACGAGTTGCATGCGCACATAGCGCGTGAATCTCTGGGTGTCAACTGTTGCATGCGGAAAATGCTCGCAAATCAGCAAGATTTTAAAGCCGAAAAACCATACATACAGCTCATCATCGAAGCAGCTGGACACAAGTGTTGGTTTCTTCCAAAGTTTCACTGTGAGCTGAATCCCATTGAAATGTACTGGGGATGGGTTAAAACTCGTGTGTGGCCGCATTGTCAGCGCTGACTCATTGTGATGTGACGAAATTCTCGCAGGTTTCCGCAGTGCGGCTGATGGAACATTCCTCACCGCGAAGCGCATTGTACCAGAGCTTCTTGATGCATGCCCCATCAAGACAATACGTGCCTTTTATCGAAAATCTTGGAGATATATGGATGCTTACAGGTGTGTAACTCAACCAGCTTCATAGTTCCTTCTCACAGTATCCCAGGAAAGGTCTTAATGCGCGTCAAGCTGAATTTGCCGTGAAGAAATACAAGTCGCATCGTCGGTGCGGTCCTACATTGATGATGAACTTGGGTGTTCTCGTCGACTAATCACGGAGTCGGCCGTCAGATGCCGCATACCCAAATAGGAAACTCCGACACGCTCCGCTCGAAATTCACTTTTGGCTAGCGAAAATTTTGAAACTTAAGTTTTTTGAAAAAGTATTCTGATAGACTTACTATACTACTCTAACATAGCACATTTGTTAGGTTTTTAAGACGAACGAGGTATTTCTGAATGTGTAGATAGAATTACAAGTTTTGATGTCGGTAGTTGCCGCTTTTGAGTGACATACACTGTATTGTAGAGCATTTCAAGCCATAAAACAATAAACATGTGTTTGATTCTTGCCGGCGTTGCTCACCATTCTCTGGTCACGACGATTCAATCGTGACGTGGCAACTGATCCCAATAGTGGGCACAAAAAGATCAGTCTAATCAGTCTATACATTGACAGACCAAAGGGGATAAGATCAAGTGGGTGAACACAATATTTGCGGTGATTGCCACGGCCCACCGCCACGCGCTGCTTAGAGAAAGCACGTGCCTTGTCACATGACGTCTGATATAAATGGACAGACTTACAGTTACAGAACTTCAGCACCCCACAGTTAACGTTAATTATCGTTGATCCATATTCCAAAGTAAGCGCAACTGCACTCAGAGCCGTCTTGCAAAGCTTCAGGCATCGTAGTCATGATCTATTATTGCGGATATCTCGTGCGAGACGACTGGATGTTCCAGCGGGGCGCTGAGTTGGGTTGTCTGCGCACCGCAATGGACCCAATGGATATCTTTCTCCTGGCTTCGAGTGATCTCATGATCGACACAAACGTTTATGCATACACCAAATTTCGTCATGTGAAGACTCTCAAGGGGAAACCGTTTTGGTGCATTGCCTTCGCCTCGAACGATCCTTCCGAAGGCTTGCCAACCAGCGCGCCGGCAGAGGAAGAATACAAGGCTTTGAAGGAGGCCCTGCATAAGAAAGGCCCGCCTGGCTGGTACAAATCTTCTTGAAATAATGTCAGTGACTATGCACATCGCCAATGGGAGCAACTAATGTTTATTTCGAAACAACAGTCTCGTCGTGTTCATCGCCTGCCACATACCTTCCATGCCCTCGAATACCAGGACAGGGTGGCACGTTGGCACATACAATTACTGTCTTACCATTATTCTTTTGTTTTTCCAAGGAATGGAGATCCCCAGGATGTCGAGGAACTTCTATTAGCCCCCTTCTCCCTTCTTTTCTGTATCAGAGTAATCCCTTATTGAACTTATGTTGATGTATTTTGTTGTAACGAGGAAACCATCGAGGAGTGTCGCAAACGGAGAATAATTGTGGCCCATCTGATTTTGTACATCTTGTAATTTTACATCGAACCTACACAGCGTACATGACCACGCGGTGGCACGCGCGCCTTGAACTTGTCTCTTTCGGTCTTGCTTAATGGAAGCACGTGCCTGGTCACATGTCAATGATGTCGCGACTCACGCTCAGGCTCTTGCATTTATGACCTATCTCTCCTTTTTGTGCTGCAGCTCGTGTGTTATTAGATTCAAGAAATATTCTATACTGTGGTCGAGCGAAAGAATCGATAGACTAAAGGGGATAAGAAGAAGTGGGTGAACACAACGCGGTAATCACTCACGCACGTGTTGTGTCAATCATTGTTCATTGTTCGAGTTGCACTTGCCACCGACGACCGTGTTGTCTTTTTCCACACTAAGTTTAACGCACGCCGCTGCTAATCATCTCTAATCCGAGGTAAGCGCATGCATCGGAACCGTCCCTACAAATCTAATACCTCTCCAAAGCTTCAGGCATCGTAGTCATGGTCTATTATTGCGGATATCTCGTGCGAAACGACTGGATGTTCCAGCGAGCCGCTGAGTTGGGACATTCGCCCACAACAGGAACAGATATTGTCTGCCTGGCTTCAAGGGATGTCAGGGTACAGACGGGTGTTTACTTCTACACCAAGGTTCGTCAAGTAAAAACCGCCAAGGGCACGACGTTTTGGTGCATTGCCTTCGCCTCGAACGATCCTCGCGAACAGTTACCAACCAGTGCGCCGTCGGAGGAGAAATACAAGGCTTTGAAGGAGGTGCTGCAGAAGGAAGGCCCGCCTCGCTGGTACCGAGCTTATTGAAACAACGCCAGTGAGTATGCACATCGCCAATGAAAGCAACTAATATCTATTTTGAAGTCAAGGTCTCGTGGCATTGTTGACCTTGCAGATACTGTCCAAGCCCTGGAATCTCAGGGCGGAGTGTCGGCGCAATCCCTTGTCGACCTGTTTCGATATATCTGAATTGTAACGGAAAAACCATCGGGGAGCATTGCGAACGGGAGACATTTGTAGTCCGTTCAACTTTGTACATCTACTGTTACATTGAACTTGCACAGCGTGCACTGGCCATGCACGCCTTTCTACTAAACTGACATGGCCATGGTCATCCGTTAAACACAGGCTAGGTTGTCCATAGTAGTCCTGAGCCAATGCAAAACATGTTGCATCCTTACATGTCGGGCTTGCGATTCTTCTAGCTTTGATTAAACAACCACTCCTTGGTCTTGGAAACGATACTTGATTGCTATGGAAGAACCAGTGTCTTCTTTCGGTTGCACGAGCGAAGGGCTTCTGAATCTGAGGATCCCGATCGACAGTCACCTGATTGTGTTCACCGTCGACCAGATTCTGGCCATCGCCCCTGCCGTGACATCATTCTCGGCATTGGAAGGTATTGCCTAACTGACAAGGTCATTGCAATAAGATGAATCGATCAAGTCCTCGACCATCATTAATGCAAGGGGTGAATTCAAGCTATCGGTGTCGATTGCGATCCGACGAAGACAACGACGATTCGGTGGGTCCATCAATCACGCATGCAGATCTTGGTTTGTGCCGATGGCCAGAGCTCGAGGTTTGCCAAATCTATGCACGCAATCAACGTTATATAGCCAAGGCCGCGATTCTCGTGTTTACTCTTTGTCGCAGATAGTGCTGTTGATATCTGCCAAAGAGCGTGCAAAACTACTACTTGTGGCAAGGTTTCAGAGACGACTGTGGCGGCCATCCGTTTCCTATGGATCTGACTGGCGTTTATCTGTGCCTTGAATAAATCATGGAAGGGGAAACGACAAATTTCAATCGACTGACTTCGCATTACGGATACAAATCACCGTATCTGACCGGCAGCCGGGAACCTTTGATAGACTAACAGGTCAGTGCTCCCTTCTGCCACCTCCAGTACTTTCCAATCCAATTCGGTTTGTTCCCGTCGGAAATTTCGCATGTCGATTTAGCAATGCTCTCAATTTGCACAAGAATGGTCTGGAGGCATATGACATGCAGACAAGGATGTGAAGCGGGCGCAATTAAGGTAGTAACTGCTGGGGGGCTGGGATGAGAACTCTCCGCAGAGTAAAAGACTGTGCACAAATGTTTCGATAAAACTAATGCACGCGATCATTCATAGCCTGGGTTGGTGGCGTCTGACCAAGAGCTGTGGTGAGGACAGCTATTCATTGAATATTGAAAACCTGCGAGGGCGTTTTAATTTGGGACATGGATGTTTAATACGAGAACGCATACCAGATTTTTCCTCGATTAACTATCTGGAAGCACAGCTCGCGCTTTTGCAGTACTCAAGGTATGATGACAACAGCAATATTGGGATGGGCGGTGAAAGACACCGGTCTCTCCAGCATCAGGTAATTATTCTGGAATACCTTCAAAGTGGGCCTAGCTCTCTAAGGTATGATGCCAGAAATCCGCCGACAACCGCACCTGCTACACTTTGTTGGGGTGTCGCTCTACCACGAGCGCGTAGTCCGAGGAGCACGCCTGAGATAACCGCTTTGCCGGGCAGCCAAGTCCGCGTCCAAGGCTCCAAGGGGTATCTAGTTATTGCAGTGAAATACTAGCCAGGTCGGGAGAACGAGATCTGTGGCCGTTGCAGTGCAATACGGCGGTGCGAATCTAGCGCCGTCACCCAAATGGTGCTCTCTGGAAGGCGGAGGTGGGCTCACCGCCGGTGAGAATGAGGGTGAAAACGACAAGCCGGGACCGATATTGGTCAAGTTGCTGGAACTCGTTAAACGAGTTCGTCATCAAGGTTGGTGGCCAACGCGCGCTAAAGACTCATTTCCCACGGCCCAACTTTGGTCCAGGTCATTTCTATCATCGTGCAAGAACTTCCTCTCCGAGGAGTCTCGTATACACGCTGTCGGCGCTGATCAGATCTATCTTCTATGGTCGTGACGACAAGGCGTTGATTTTCCATGAAACGTTTGAGGACTTCTGGCATCCAAGAGCATGAGGATCAGAAAGTCCGAGCCTGGTTCGAGAGGCTTATGACCTCGGGATGCGAGGTGCGAGGTGCGGCCGCTCTGCGTGGAGCAGGGGACGTACTTGTAGATGTTTCTTCGTCAGGTAGAAGACTCCAAGCCAGGATCTTCTTTCCTCGGCAGCTATGATCTCCAATATCCCAGATTTCGAACATCCTCCAAGCTTGGTACGCGAAGGCTACTAGTCGCGTCAGAAAAGAGTCAGAATAGGTGCCGTGCCGTACGTCACCGGGCAAGCGGCAGATACTCGAGGACAATGAAAATATTGCACCTGTTCAGTCTGTCGTTCAAGTTCAACGCATCGCGAGCAGTTCCTCGAGCAAGGAAACGCCTGATCTGTGCTTGGAAAAACAAACGATAGCACTGGCGGGTTCATCGAAACTTTTGACGATCTCCACTGACTTCATACTTGACGACGCATGGGCGTCATCACGAAGCCTCCCATGGCTTGTTTGCATTGTGCCGAATCATCGCATCAGTACTTGCATAATCAATGTACGTATACCAAACATTATACTAAGGTACTGGCATTAATATATATCGTTTCCAGCCGCGTTCCGTGACGCCGTCTATGAGGTTCTGGACCCTGCGGAGGATATGTGCGGGGGGGAATTCTCGGAATTCGAAGGTACGGTGATATTGTCACAAGGCCGTCGCAGATCATGAATCGATGAAGTCCTCTAGCATTAATTGCAAAAGGACATCGGTGTCGATTCCGATCCGACGACGGCAACGACGATTCGGTGGACCCATCAATGCATCAATTTGAATCATACATTGATCTCACTGATTTGGGTCCAGAAGCACAAGCTCTCGACATCATGTAAATTTGAGATAAGTTGGGATTTTTGACGTAGTCTCATCCACTACTTACTAATGCATGGGCTGGCCGCTGAGCGCTCTACTCTGATCTGTTATGAGTTTTCGAGCCAGCTATCTTACTATTAGGTGAAGAACATCATCTGTCCACTGACTATATACTTACCAAAAATCAAGCCAGAAATCCAATATTATTGTCAATTTGGTTGCCCATAATACTACTACATCACGCATGTAGATCGGTTGATGGGCCCCTGTAGAATTGGTGGGCTGACACCCGTTCTCACGAATGAATGACTAGTTTTCTTCGACGTTTGTCCGTCTACCCTAGTCAGACCTATCGAAGGACGGTGGTCGTGCCTAGACTTCCCGATTGAAATCCGCCATCAGAGTCAGTAAGAATACTGATTCAGTATCTAGCGACGCGAGCTAGGATCCTCATCGGCGATCTTTTGCGTCACGCGGTGCATGGCTTCTGGAACCATAGTTATAGGTGGTCATGGTTCGGAAATTTGATCAATCCCTCTCCGATTTTTTCTACCAAGTTGTTACCATCGAAATGCACCACCAGTATTTTGATACACCTGCCAAACACCCGAGGTCGCTGACTTCGTTGCTCGATGATGCTTTTCACGCGCTTCGTGAAAGAGCTTTCAATGCATCATGGGGCCCTATAGTAAATGTAGCAGAAACTGCTGTGGTCACGTAGGTATTTCACTTTAACGACGCCCGTGGGTTCTCAACATTGATTTTCAGGCTTATGGACAAAATTTCCGTCGGACACCTCCGTGTATTGACCATAGAACGTATTTATGATTTTCCTCCACGCACCGCGGACGATTCTGCGAACACAGAGACTCTCAGTGCAGAGTTGAGGGTGACCAAAGACACTTTTTGGGTTCGCTTGTTTACCATGGGCGACCTTGGATTTTCCGAGGCCTATATGTATGGGGAGGTTGAATGCAGTGATCTTATTGCGTTGTTCAAGGTCAGCCAATGCATTCCACATGTGAAGTGCATCACCCCGAACGTCGCCCTAATGTTGTCAACAGATCTTTTTGATAAATCGGCAAAATCTTGCTAACATGGAGTCTGCCGCATCGTGGTTTTTCACAATTCCGCAAAAGCTCACATCCTTTCGGTTTCTAAACACCCTCAGCAATTCTCGATGCAACATTTCAGCTCACTACGACATATCTAATGCAATGTTCAGAGGTATACCCCGTGTCCCTACGGCTGTTGCCTGCGTTTGACATATTATTAGGCTTCCTGTCCGAAGATATGACATATTCATGTGCTATCTTTGACGATCTTGATGGCGACCTTGTCTCTGGTGCTGCAGACCACAAGTCTTATAGTGGGGGCGAACATCTCATGATTCTGAATGCACACTATAACCCACAGTCGAAGGAGGCTTCAGGGGCTGATTGCTGCCCTCCTCCGTCGGAAGATTCACTGTATGAAGCACAGCTTCGCAAGCTGAAACACATCATTGACAAAGCCAAGATCTCCTCCGACCAGCGCGTACTGGAAGTTGGGTCGGGATGGGGTTCCATGGCTATAGCTATTGCGCAAACATATCCTGGCACAACCGTGGATACTCTCACACTTTCCGTTCAGCAACAGGCACTAGCCACGGAGCGTATCCGAGACGCTGGACTTCAGGACAGAGTGATAGTACATCTCATGGACTATCGTGCGATGCCGCCTAGCTGGAAAGCTTCTTTTGATAGAGTCATCAGTATCGAGATGATCGAGGCCGTTGGTGCGGAATATCTTGAAGAGTATTGGCGTGTCCTTGACTGGGCGTTGAAACCCAAGGGTGGGGTCGGAGTCGTACAGGTCATTACTATTCCAGAGGCTCGTACGTATCGCCCTTTGCAGCCTTCTTCTCCGATAACGCTTACGACTCTCCTTTGGAAGGTTTCGAACGGTACATCGCAGAAATTGACTTTATTAGAAAATGGGTGAGCGACTCAGTTCTGTCTCGTTGATTAGGAATTTATATTGAGATTCTTTTCTACCTGTAGAGTAAGGATGGACTACATATTCTTCCCAGGTTTACGCTGACATGATAGCTTACAGTATTCCCCGGAGGGTTTATCCCAACGCTGACGCTGCTGCTTAAATCCATGGAGAAGGGTTCCGGCGGTCGTCTTATCGTTGACTCCGTATCGAACATAGGTCCCCACTATGCCCGAACGCTCCGGGAATGGCGTAGACGCTTCGTGAATAGGTTCGAAAGTGTCATCGTCCCAGCTCTAAAAGCGGAGTATCCTGCCATAATAAACGGCCCTAGAGGACAAGAAGAGATAGAGGTCTTCCGCAGAAAATGGTTATGTAGGTGGAGCATTGTTTTGGTTGAAGAATTTTAACTGATGCAGTGTGGTGTAGACTACTAGTGGGTGCATAAGGAAGGCACGTTGTATCGCGCGCTCATGATATTCCCGTCTATGTAGCTGTTATTGTGAAGTGGGCTTCACGGCACGTGTCTTGGGAGGTGAGTTAACCGAACCGTTTTGTCATGAACGCAAGCTGAAGTGGCATGGTAAGACCATATCATCACTTTCACGCGCGAAGGCTTTGAAGGCTTTGGTTGCGACGTTTTCCATTGACGCAGAAAGATTGTAATTCGATATCCTATAGTTACATTGGATAACTACTTCGTGTATCGATTCTCTTCACTGTTTCACTTTAGCATCTGATTCAAACTGTAAGGCTGACTTATAGTCCGAAGGGGAATTGGAACGAGACAAACGAGGCGAGTGGATTCTTAGTGCTTTTGCTGCGAGGGTCTTCTGTTGTGCGTGGAGCGGGAATTCAGCGTCTCTGATTCTACTGTAGTAGCGATTATACATGCGTGATTTATATACGTTTCGCGAAGCGATTGATTAAACCGAGGCCGGCGTGAGTAGCATGTGGAACTTGAAAATAACACGGGGAGACAAGGAAATGGTGAGATGCAAGCATATGGAGAGGTAGTGGAAGAGAGCAGAAAACGAATGTATCCACGTAACTCGGATGCGAAGAGTTGAGCTCTTCGCATCAGTGAGTCACGTGGCTGTGTTCGACTTTGTAACAAGTTCAAACGCCTTGCTTTGAAGATGTGACGGTGCGTAAAGGATATGATATCCTTACATCACCCTCCCACTTCGAATATCGACCGTCCGCGGTCGATCTTCCAACCAGTAAACTAAAAACAAAAGAAAAGAAAAAAAACTGTACTGTAGGGTATATAGCAGAGGGAGTAGATTAGAGAAAAATAAAAGGGGAATGATAACGCATCTGATTCTATTCGTCGACGAGTCCTTCGAGAGCTTGAGGGTTAATGAATTGGGTGACTTCTAGCGAGGTAGGCGAGCGCGGGTGATAGGGAATGATGCGAAAGGCGGCAAACTTCAGTTTGGAGAGGGATCCGTCAATTTCTGAGAGACGGTATGATCCTCCTTGCGAACGCGAAACCACGATCATTGGTCCGAAGTATCGTGGCTTGCACTTGACGTTGGATGCTGCTTCTATCTTCTTGTTGAGTACTAACACGAGGTCTCCGGGCTGGAACGCGTAATCGTGGATGATGTTTGCGAATCGTCGTTCAAAGTCTTTGGCGGATGCGAAGCGGGATTTGAGCAGCCGTTCATGCGCTAGCGCTAAATCGTGGTCACGCTTAGCCAGCTGTTGGCCTCTGATAGCGAGTAGTTTGTCCGTGGAAATGAGAGCGCTGATTTCAGGGAGTAGGAAGGTTGCATCAGTGATATCGAAGGGAAGAATAGGTTCTACGCCATGAGCTAAGAAGAAAGGAGTGTGGCCCGTGGTTTTACGCGTGGTAACGCGGTCCGCCCAGAAAACATGTGGTGCAACAGCTGGCCATCGAGTGATATCGCCGTCACAGGCTTTGACAAGCGAGTCTCGTATTGTTCGATGAGAGCGTTCTACTAGGCCGTTAGCGCGTGAGTTGTATGGTGAGATTCGGATATGGTTGATGTGGTATGTTCTGGAGAGCCATTCGATTGCTGCTACGAACGGTGTACCATTATCCGTTACAATCTCTTCTATACCTCCCCATCTACATAATATGTCCTCGAAGATGAAGGATCCCAGTGTGCGTCCAGTCTCCGTTTTCAACATGTGCCATTCGGGCCAGTTTGATAATGAGCAGCGGGCTTGTACAATGTAGGTGTATCCTCGGGCAGTGGGCATGTACATTGAGTCGGCGAATGCTTTCCTAAACAAAGGAGCTGGAATAGCGACGGTAGGGGGGATGATGACGCGTTCAACGGAGCGTAACTGGCATTGATGACAAGTCTTGAGGAACCATGCTAAGTCCTTGTCCAATGAGGGCCACCAGAATCTGTCCGCGATGGTGCGTCGTGTAGGATAGAATCCCTTGTGACCGAGTTTGTCGTGTGCTTCAGTGAGAATGCGAATGCGATCTGGTGTGAAGATAACAAGCTGATGTCGTCCTGTTGGCTCTTTTTGCCACAGACTGTCTCCGCGTGAAAAAAAACGATGGGCGTGTTTAACGAGGCGTGTTCGATCTGCGACTGATAAAGACGATGGGAGTGATAGTGACTCGAGATAAGAAAAGATGGTGCGTAGCTCAGCGTCGCGTTGCTGGACAGTATCATCTGATGGGGGTATAAGTTCTGGAATGGGTGTTGATGCTGTTGCGTGCACGGCAAGTGAGGTAGGTGTCTTGATCTGTTGAAAGAAAATTGCTAAATCCTCTTCTACCCAAATCGCGCATCCCAAAACTTCATCCAACCACTCCTCTATCTCCTCAGAGGTTTCTTCTAACTCTACATGGTCTTCTGGGGCTGCTGGTCGTCGCGAGAGTCCGTCTGGTCCAAGGTGTCTGGTAGCAGGTACGTGGCGTAGTTTGAAATCGAAAAGAGATATTCCCGCTAACCAGCGGTTCATGGCGGCTGTCACAACCCCTTAAACAACTTAATGCTAGGGCAGAGACTAGGACTCAAACGAAGGTTATCACGATAAAAGAGATGAGATTGAGCAGGTACGTTTGGGCTGCTACAAGATGTAGAGACGAAAGGTTTGAACTAAAGAACTACTGACTAGAAACGTCTTAACTATATACAACTATTCAAGAGGAGATACAAACTGAGTTCTAACTACTAGCCAATCATAAAATAAGAAACAGAATCGTACGATGTGATAATGTGAAAGGAAACTATGATGTCATAAGAAGCGATGCTGCTTCTGTGAAGTTCTGGAAGGTTCTAGGAGAGTCACGTGATGTGAGAGCGTCTAAGTCTGGAGTTGGGATTTCGGTAATGGTAGCGATAGGGTTAGGGTTAAGGTTTGGAACATATGTCGGGCATTTAGGAGTTAGCGCTGGGAATGGGCGCTTAATGTTGACAGTCGAAAGGAAAGAATAATGATTTGTATTTGGAACTCGTGACATTACCCCCCCTCTAGGTTGAGCGTCATCGCGAAAGACGGAAGGACGGATATTCTTTTGTCTCCATTCTTTGAACTCCGATGTTTCTAGAATAGACCCTCGAATTCTTTTGGAAGCGGCTGCCGTGGGATTTTCTTTATGGAATTCTGCGACAAGAATCGGGGAGTTTTTTAAGTTCTCTTCTGGCTCCCATGTCGACTCGTCTGTCGGATATCCTTCCCATTTTACTAGGTATTGCAGCTTTCCTCGGAACAATCGGCTATCTAATACGGATTCTACAACGAATTCTTCCTGATCGGCAACGATCTCTGGCGGTGGTCGGGTGGATTGACGATGAGGAACCATTTGAGATGGACGATATGGCGTGAGTAATTCGACATGAAAAACGGGGTGAATCTTATAGCTTTCTGGCAATTTCAATTTGTAGTTCACCTCGCCCGTCTTCTCTAGTATTTCGAAGGGACCTAGACGACGATCTGATAGTTTCTGACTTGGACGACGCTGTTTAATGTTCTTTGCGTCTAACCAGACCTTGTCTCCTTTCTCATACTTCGGTGCGTCTTTCACTCCTCGGTCATAGAAACGTTTCATCCGTTCATTAACCATCTTTAGAGTGTCTTCTGCATCTTCACGTGCTTCTTTCATTTGGTTCGCTCTCTCATCTGCGGCGGGAATAAGGGATTTGGAGTTCGGAGATATGGTGAATTCGGGATCGTATCCGTACAAGACTTTGAAAGGGCTGTGTCCGGTTGATGTGACTGCGTTGTTGTGTGAAAATTCTGCAATCGGTAGCCAAGACACCCAATCATTTTGTCTATAGGATGTGAACAAGCGCAAATATTGTTCTATTTCTTGATTTACGCGCTCTGTCTGTCCGTCTGTTCTAGGGTGATAGGAGGTCGAAGGTGACCATTTCGTTCCTAATCTTTTTGATACTTGTCCCATGAACTTCGAGATAAACTGTGTTCCTCGATCCGATATCACCTTCTTTGGTGTTCCATGATTTTTCCAGACATTTCTCAGGAATAACTCGGCAATGCCCTTCGAGTCTACTTCCTTTACTGTGGGGATAAAATACGACTGCTTCGAAAATCGATCTACGACTACGAAAATGCTGTCCATTCCCTCACTTTTTGGCAAGTCCACGATAAGGTCACATGAGATCGTCTGCCAAGGTGCACTCGGCACTTCATTTGGTTGCAAAGGTCCCGTTGGTTTGCTTGGGAATACTTTTGTTTGTTTGCATCGATCGCAACCGTCTACATAATCATGAACATACTTCGTCATTGAAGGCCACCAATAATTTCTGGAAATCAATTCTAAGGTTTTGGCTCGTCCAGGATGTCCAGCCGGTGGAGAGTCGTGAAACAACTCCAATATCTCTCGGCGGATCTCTTTATCGTTTGGAACGTACACCATGCCTCGGAACAACACCAATCCGTCCTCAACATTCCACTCTTCAACTCCTCTGCGTAGCTGTACTGGCGCTGTCTTTAGCGTTTCCAAGGCTTTCATGACCTCAGGCTCTCGTTCCGTGCTCTTTCTTATCTTTTTTAGCAACGAACTTTCTCCTTCGATGAGCATTTGGCCTCTTAGCAGCTTTAGCTTGGAAAAACTCAGGTTTCAGCAAAATGCGGTCGGAATTGTCGTTTTCTACCCCCCCTCTGTGGTCTGATCTCCGAGAAAGACGGTCTGCCTTATCGTTGACTACACCAGGCTTATGTTGGAGCGTAAATTCATACTCCGCCAGGAATAAACTCCATCTGGCTTGCCTTCTTGTCAACTTTTGGCTCGTCATAAAGTACTCGAGATTTTTGTGATCCGTCCAGATCTCCACTGGGTGAGGTGCCCCCTGCACATAGTGCCTCCACTCTTCTAACGCTCGAATGATTGCGAGTAACTCTTTGTCATGAATGTCGTAATTTCGTTCTGCATCATTCATTGACTTTGAGTAGTATGCCACGGGATGCCATAATCCGTCTTCCATTAGTTGAGAAAGTACTGCACCGGATGCATAATCGGAAGCATCGGTTTCTATTCTCTTTTTCTTTTCAACATCTGGCATGACTAATAACGGAGCTTCTGTGAACTGCCTCTTTAATTCTTCGAAGGCCTTCTGTTGCTTCTCCGTCCAATCCCATTTGACATCTTTTCGCAATAAATCATTCATTGGTCTAGCAATGTTCGAGAACCCCAATATGAATCTTCGATAGAAGTTGGCAAAACCCATGAATGCTTGTATGTCTTTCACGCATTTGGGAACAGGCCAATTTAATACTCCTTCTACTTTCACAGGGTCCATCGATACTCCGCCTTTTTCCACTATCAACCCGAGGAACTCCACTTGAGATTGTTCGAAGCTACATTTCTCTGGCTTTAAGAACAAATCGTTATCTCTCAATCTTTTGAGCACCTCTCGTACAAGCTTTCTATGTTCTCCTTTGTCTGCATTTGTGAACACGAGAATATCATCGATATAGACAACTACTTTTCTGTCTTCGATCAAATCTTTGAATATCTCGTTCATCATGGTCTGAAAAGTTGCAGGAGAGTTCGTCAAGCCGAAGTACATTACGGTCGGTTCATGGTGACCAAAGGGCGTTTTGAATGCCGCCTTCCACTCATCTCCTTCTTTCATGCAAATGTTGTTGTACCCCCATCGTACATCCATTTTAGAGAACGTGGTTGCTCCAGTCAATGCATCTATTAGATCTTGCGACCTCGGTAAAGGGTATGCATTCTTGACCGTTCTATCATTGAGCTTCCTGTAATCCATAACGGGGCGTAACTTGCCATCCTTTTTAGCCACAAAGAAGAAAGGTGCTGCAATCGTTTTCCGGTCTCTGAGGCTGATATTGAGCAGTTCATTACTTCGATTTGTCCCACTGACGGTTGATAGCACAGGTGATCAATGGTGGCACAGCCAAAGCCAGGACATGCAAATGGCTGCGCCGCCACTCATAAACCCTCCTCTGGCTGAGGCTGGATTGTCTATCGAGTTGCCCATGCAGAGCCAGAACAACTCGTTGGGGAGCCATTCATCCACCCCACCCCGTATTCGCAGACCACGCTTGAATGCCTTCCCATCACCCTTTCCCATGTCTCCTCGACTCCCTCCTGTCGACGCCCTTCACACAGCTAACACTGACGGACATAGTCTACCAGCCCCGCACATCTCTCAATCGACTCTACCAGCCACGCACATCTCTCAATCGCCTCCAGCAGCGGTTATCAGTAATTTATTGGAACATTCCACTCCAGCCGCCGCCAACTCAGATACTCTTCCATCTGTTTTCGGCATACCTACACCTCTCACAGATACCACTGCTATTCCCCGCCGTGCCGGACACCTTGCTTCATACAGGAAGTGTTCCACCCACTTCTAGTGCTCCTGGAAGACGCTCTGCGCGTACGACACGACCATCAACAAGAGCTGAAGATGCCAACAAGATCGGTGATGATGCCAGAACCATCACTTCCAAACGCAAGCGCAAAGGTGTGACGGCAGGTTCCACAGCCCATGCAGTCGCTGCGAAAAGTACGTATTCCAATTTTTGTCCATTTTATCACGCTAAACATCAATCTGTGCAGGTCTAAAAAATAATCACATTTCTTGCAGTACATACGCCTCAATACTCTAATGTCTTCGTGTCCTATTTACAGTTTAACCATGTAGTTATTGCGACAACAATTTTTACTTAATGCTCAAGTCAAGTTAATGTTACCCGTCACAAATATTGTGAACTTCGCCTTGAGCAGTTGAACTAGAGATCACGTGAGTTGGACAGTCTGAAATCAACGAAGTTGAACCAAAGTCCACGTGATTTGGACTTTGTTGCATGAGACTGAAGTGAAAATCAACGAAGTCGAACAGAACATCACGTGATTTGGAAGAAAAATTGAAAGCAAAATATATTTTGGGATGGGCCTACAAAGTGGAGAGTACTAAGAGAATGGGGGACGAAGCACTATCTAATCCTGATCGAAGATCTACCCAAGTGAGTGGCTATGATTCCTCACATGAATCTAGGTAGGGTGATTATGTTGGTCACGTCTACAGGCGCGGCTTGGCAATAATGCGAGGCACACCACGAAACGTGGTAGAGTGATGGTGAACAGGGAGTGGGGAAAGGAAAGAGCTCGACGACAAGACGCATTGAAGTCGAGGAGCGGATACAAGAGACGCCGGCATTTTCCGCTCGTCAATAAAGACCAAACTTCGCTCGTGCCTTACTATGTCATGGAGTGACAATATATAAGTAAAGTGATCGAGTGAGCAGCGCGTGGCTATGCAGAGGCAAGATGGAGATCTAGATTTCCGCAGATTTCCAAAAAACCAAAGCTGCCCAAATCCCAAATCGGACCTGACCAGGGTACAGGCTAAGAATAACCCAGTAGGTATGAGTCGCACAGGTGATATATCACTGCCCTGTGCTTTAAGCCAAAGGCAGGGATATATCACGGATGCACTCCAAAGCCAGTAAAATGATATATCATATTGACACTATAGCCTGGTGCTGCTTGAAGATTGCCGTGAACGCCATTGTGTCCTCGACGTTGGTCAGACCATCAACCAAACGAGCGCTTCATCGAGGCAATGTCAGACAGGAACCGACGCATGCAGATCTACAACCAACCACTCGCTCGTCGGCACTTTTGCTAATGTACCCGGGTCTACAATCATGGTGATATTGGTATGTACACTTCCTGCGGTGTTTTTCTGCGCTCACGTTCTTACAGCTACAAACTCGTTTCTGTCATTGTGGTGGATGGTGTCGTCGTGAGCCGTCCGTGCTGCTCTGTTCCCAACTGCTGGGTACATCTCCGTACCCCACAAGACCGGTTTTGTCATGCCCACTCCGCCCACCTCAATCAATGTGCGATTAAAGGCTGCGCACAATCTGTCGTGTCAGGTGGCCTTACGTGCGACATCCCCGCACACCAGGAGTCTGAAGCACTGCACACTCTGCGGGGCAAGTCTCGATTCCGTCTGCACGAACGCCTTGAGCGTTCACGGCGCTATCCATGGGCGACTTGCAAATGTCCAGGCTGGCTGACGACGACGGGGACGGTGACGGTGACGGCACACAAGCCATCGGAGAGGAGGAGTATGACGTGAAATCGGGAAAGAAGAAGAAGCTTCGTGCGCAGTTCACGCGCAACTATACTCATTGCGAGGAGTTGATTGTTGCACCTTGCAGGATGA